TTAAAATCGAACTGTCATTTGTATAAAATAATTGACAAGTTTGATTTATTGAAAAATAATTTAATGTCGATATTGCTCCATTTGAATTTATCATTTCACATATACACTGACTTTGTGTTATATTCCATAATGATTTATATATATTACCGATCAATATATTATTATCTCTTTTACCAATAAGAACACAATCACCAGTAGAAAATATTAGTAAAACAAAAAATATCCAAAACATCTTTTGTGAGTTGTTGTTTTAAAATTGTTTTAGAAATGTGTTAGTAACTAGCATTACTGTTTCTCTTTTCTTTTATTTTCTTCAATTCTCTCGTTTAATATTTAATCACTAGAAAGAAAAGTGCTATAGGTTGTTTGTCAGGTTCTTTGTAAAAAAACAACTACAGTTATGACTCATGACTGTCCTACTTCCAAAGCGAATAGAATAGCAACAAGGACAAATAATTTGGGTACATAAGAAGAAAATATTACTTTAGTTTTTCTAACCATTTATGGAATTAAAATCGGCACCATCGAATAAGGAAAAGAAAAAAGGAAGTTTTTTACTGTATATGTAATTACTTTTTAAAATCAAGTTATTTTCAGAATACCCATTCAATATTATAAAAGAAAAAAAGGAAATAAGAAATTCTGATAATTAACGAGTTGCTTTATCTAAACATTTAGTCATCACATGTGTTTCTGCAATAGAATGTTGTAGAAAATGGAATGTTTTTTTTCTCGGTGTCTCACATGCAATAGTCATCGACGTTGCCATCAACATTAATTACATAAATTTCGACGAATATCAAACTTTTAGTTTTGTTCGATTTTGTCAATCATATTAAATATTATTTTGAATTCATTTGAAGATATAGATGAGAGTGATATGTCATTAAGAAAAATCTCTAAGAACCTGAGAATTATCATCTTAATCACGATTAATTTGTTCGTAACATCGATTTCTATCTTGAAGAAATACTTTCTACTATACTATACTATCCAAGAAGATAGTGATAGGTGATCTTTTTAAAAAGAATTGATTTACAAATTAGAATATAGGATAAATGGAAAAAGAAAATACGTTGTAGAGTTCACAGATCATTGCTAATATTCGATAGCAACCTATTCGAGTATTCAATTACCATCGATATCTAATGTTCATGTATTAAATATCAAATGAAAATAATAAAACTTGTTTTCTTGCCAATAAAATTCTATTAGAAGAAAAATGTCTCGTAAATCTCGTTTGCATATTATTGAATATTTTATTAGTTTCTTATTCAAATCTTGCATTCTCAGCCGTTCACCGATTACAATATCAATTAGTTTCATGATATAATAAAATATGGGTATCTAAAATGAATGGTATGATACAAAAAGAAACAAAGGAAAAATATCGAAAGAAAAAGATCTGTTTTAGATTTTATATGTAATAACCATTCTTTTGCAATATAATTTCATTTATTATTTGTCGTAAAAGACAACATGTTAAGTATAACTAATTCCACCTTTAAACGAAATAAGACGAGGCGTACAAAAAAACTACTATTGATGCTTGAATCCACTTACTGCTCTTTATCATATTACCTCTAGTTTTTATGATGACTGTTGTCACTCATCTAGACCAAAAAAAATACAAATTTGAACATTAAGCCAAACTGTACGATACCTACTATATTTTATATGAAAGTATTGGCTCTGTTCTTCAATTACTTTCATATATATGTATACATATATATAGGTATTCTATTCATTGAATACGGATGAATTTATCAATAGTACGTACTATTCTTTGATACTGGAACAGAAAGAATAATTCATTCTATTGATAAAAAGACTTTTTCTCTCCTTCTGTTCTTCTATGTTCCTGTTGAGTACCTTTCTTTCTTTTTTATCTAACGAGTGAACGATCCGAGGTGTCAAAAAGCTTTTGAGCTGAAATTTTGTCCACAAGTAGGGGATATATAGACTAAAAAAGCCTAAACTCGAAACTTTGATTTTATTGCACAGATAGGGCCCTATACGGCAAATACAATAAATAGTTGATATCACAGTCAAACATCAACTTGGACATATATCGTTTTAGGCTTTTTTAAATCTATATATCCCCTACTTGTGGACAAAACTTCAGCTCAAAAGCTTTTTGATACCTCGGGTCGTTCCCTTGTCAGTTACACAAATAATAATCTATATTTTATCAATTATGGCTCTTTTTCATCAACTGCCATATCATATCACTTCAAAATATTACTCCAACTTATATGTTATGTGGTGAATGATAATTTATTAAGAAATGTGAACGATTAAATAGTTTGATTAAATGAAAAATTTATAATTGAGTTCAAAAAAGAAAATGTCATTCTGTCTATATCGATTAATAAAGCTCAGTACTATTGATAGGAACGCCGTTGGTTCCACCAGTAACTAATACTTTTCCATTTGCTAATTTGGATATTGTGTGATATTGTCGTGTGGCATTCATGCTTCCTGTGGTTGTCCAAGTGCCTGTTGATGGATTGTATAATTCAGCACTATTGAGAAAAGCACCATTGTATCCACCAGCAACTAACACAAATCCATTTACTAATGTAGATGCTGTATGATAACCTCGTGCGACACTCATGCTGCCTGTAATTGTCCAAGTACCTGTTGATGGATTGTACAACTCAGCACTATTAAGATAACCACCACTGTTCAATCCACTAGTAACTAATATGGATCCATTTGCTAATGTGGATGCTGTGTGATAACCTCGTGCGGTACTCATGCTTCCTGTAGCTGTCCAAGTGCCTGTTGATGGATTATACAATTCAGCACTATTGACATAAACGCCAGTACTGCTCGATCCACCAGTAACTAATACTTTTCCATTTGCTAATATGGATGCTGTGTGAACTTCTCGTGCGACACTCATGCTTCCTGTGGTTGTCCAAGTACCTGTTGATGGATTGTACAACACAGCACCATTGAGATAACCACCGTTGAATCCACCAACCAATAATACTGACCCATTTGTTAATGTGGATGCTGTGTGAGAACATCGTGTGACACTCATGCTTCCTGTAGTTGTCCAAGCGCCTGTGGATGGATTGTACAATTCAGCACTACTGATAACACCAGCACTGTTAGCTCCACCAGAAACTAATACTTTTCCATTTGTTAATGTGGATGCTGTGTGAAAATATCGTGCGACACTCATGCTGCCTGTGGCTGACCAAATCCCTGTTGATGGATTATACAATTCAGCACTGTTGAGATTAGCAGTGCCGTTGGATCCACCAGTAACTAACACTGATCCATTTGCTAATGTGGCTACTGTGTGGTATTGTCGTGCGACATTCATGCTTCCTATAATTGTCCATCCTAAATAACAGAAAAATGAAGATAAAAAAATCTATTCTTGGAAAAATATGAATTCAGTCATATACATAAGTTGTTTATGTACTGTTTGCAAACTCAATGGTTTTGAGACGTTGATAAACTTCTTAGCTCTCATGAATAGGACCAGATACATGTCTGTATTTTAAACCAATTCAAAGAACAAGGATAATAAAAGCTCTTAAGTTTTGAAAAAAACTGAGTAGAAGACATATTATTTTGTTTTCAAAATAAAGAGAAAAAAGGAGTAGTACTGGTTTCGTCAAAAAACCGAGACTTGAATTCCTGAGGGTGAGGGTAGGTGTGGGTGTGGATTCATCTTTACTTCACCAGCACCCACACCTATACCCTTTTGTGCAAGTGATAAATAAAAACAGAGCATTCCTTAAAATCAATAACATGTATCACTCATGCAAGGCCGAGTGAATTGTTATTTGAGATATTCATCGTTGAAACAACTTCAAAACATCTAGTATATTACTAACCTGGTACTGCTGTTGTTTTTGATGATGATGTTGTTGATGATAACGATGTTGTCGACGATGACGATGATGACGATGGTGATGTTGATGTGATCTGATCTATATTAGAAAAATCAAACTAAAAAAGGGACATGATAATTGGGTAAGGCTTCGCCCAAAATTCTGCATGTTTCGTTCTACTAGTAGTATATCTGATTATGAATGCATCCTGATAAACTTTACATAAGTTCAAATATTTTTATAAACCTTACGTTTTCATATGAGAATATGTTGAATATTTCTTATAGTATAATTCGTATGGCAAACATATATGCCATTCAAAAGCAAAACTATAATGTTTTGCAAGAATTATCATATACTTACTCAATGCTATGTAAATTGCTGATCGATTCATAAATATCAAAGAAGAATTCAGATTAAATCCAATTAAAATC